AAGACACAATTCGAAGAGAAGAGTTAGAAAATCATTGAATACATATGTGGAATGAAAAATGCTCAGGAGTTCACAACTTTGGAGGTGGTAGAGGAGTTTCCATAAGTAAGGGACAGGATAAACACTTCACAAACATGGAGCTCTGCTGGCCTAAAGACTTCTTGAAAAACTTCTGAGGTTGGGCTCTTGAAATATATGTTTGTCAGGAGCTTTAGCTTTCTTTGTAGTGAGACCATCAAAGCTGGGTCTGCATCTATGTGACCTGGAGGACATGGTTTCTGATTTTCCAATGAACATGAGGCAGAAGTGCTGAATTCTCTGTTTGTAGGTAATCTGTGGCCACTGAGGGCTAAGTGTCTCCCCGTGGGGACTGTGAAGCCATTTAGTCATCCTCCACTTTTCTTGGTGTTTCTTGCTGCTGCACTGGGAGTTTGGTATTTCCTACACAAAATACAAGAAGTTCAACTGGGACACAGTGCTGGAGGGAGTTCTGTCACGTGTGGTGGTTCAGGGTCCTAGGAGAATGCACCAACCATGCTTCTATCCCACAGAGCCTGGCCCCTTGACCATAGCAACCTGATTTTGAACATTTCCCTAAAACCTCTCCCTATAACAAGATGCCTTTACATATAAGGTTCTGCTGGCTGCACCATGTCAGTCACAAGCCATTTGGAAGCCCTTGGCAGATCCACATGGCCCCACCACAGATGTTCTATCACACACCTGCACACCACTGCTCAGGGCCCACTACTCAGCAGGCCCCACCTTACTGGAATCTCTGTTCTACATCATTTTCATGCAACCCAGTCAATCAAGGCACCTTTCGGGTACACTCATGATTAGCAACAGGCAACCAAAGGTTTTCCAGTGCCACCTGGTCATGGGAATTTCAAAGATTGCATGGTATTTATCTAGCCATTTTTAAAGGATGAAGTTGGAGGCACTGTGGGTATCTATTTATTCTAAAACCATTAAATGGTGAGGAAGATCATTTCAATGAAAGATCTGGAGAACTCTCACAAACAAGGCTTTCCAAAGAGTGGCCAAAACATCACATGAAACCAGGTCCACTGAGGTCAACAATGTGAGGTCCATGTGTGTTTTGGCTCTCAACTATGGCTACCAGGTCTTTAAGAATAAAATCATGTGATATCCCGGATGAGATTCCCAGTGTTCTGTTGAAAGTCACCCTGGGCTTCGATCTCAGTTTCCAGGGGCGACTCTCATGCATTACCTCAGAAAATCCTAACACAATTCATGGCAATACTTTTCTAAGTTCAGTTCCAGAACTCAGTCTCCAAGGGGAATCACACCAGAATTCAAGTCCAGTGGACCAAGTCATCTCTTCCACAGCCACACAAATGACCACAATTCAAACCAAAACACTGCCACAAGGCCCTCATCTTCTTCCATATAAACAATCCTCATGACCTCTGGCTGAAGGTTTCCATGAGGGGCGCAGCCTAAGACAGTGTCCACAATAAGCTCTCTTGCCCCTCATTTGCCTAATGTCAGGGTGGCCTGGACACCCTTCCTTTGAACCAGGAGTGATCAAATAGGCCTTCCTTAAATTGTGCTCAACTTCTCCACTTTGAGGCCTGCTGATGGTGGGGTATAGATTGTTTGTGTGAATTGGAGTGGTGATAAAACCTAAGCACATAATGGCTAGCCTCTGCAGGGCTTTTAAAAACTCATTTGACCCAAAGGATCCCTATTCTCACTTGATGGAGGTCAGAAACCTTACAGAGGAAGGCGAGAGACTTCATCCACAATGACTGCTTTTTTGCCATATTGGCTTTGGATGCACATATGGGATCTTTCTTGAGATACAGGAGGTGCTAAAAATCTAAGCCACAGCCTCACACAGGGCCAAGAGCCTGATTCAGACACATCTCTTTGTACAGCAATTAAGCAAAGAGCCACAGGTGATGCCCATTCGTTTGCATTTGAAAACTGTTTTCTTCAGGCTTCACAAAGGGTTGTCCTGAGACAAAGACCTTGCTGACATCCAGGGAAACAGAACAATAGGTAAGCAAAAGGCCCAAAGCAGGGTTTCTCCACTGAGACTTTACTGGGCCCACTGATATCTGAGTTTTTTGAGATGCTGGCAATTCCTTTCAGCTTTCCAGTACATGGCCATGTCATGAAGCTTGAGGTGGTACATATCTTGGACACAAAACCATGAGCTTATACTGAATAGTAGCCATAATTCAGGAACAAAACAGGAATTTAGGAAGATAATATGTGCTGCCTATGGATAAGGCAATCCGCAGTTCATTCATAAATTGGGCAAAATGAGTGCTGAAAGCTTTCTACTAGACAGGAGACATCCATTGATGCATTCTCCTTTCTAATGTCTACAGCCACGGACACAGTGTGATACAAAGACAGAGCAAAACTTGCCTTGTCAAAAGACTTGCTAGAAACAGTCCACTCCAAACCAAACAAACCGCCTTTCCTAGCTCTTCTCAGAACATGAGACCAAACCACTAACTCACACCCACACCCACAAAGCCACCTCCTTCCCCTAAGGAGGTCTGTGACTACCCACAGTGTCCTCTGACTTGTGGGCCATACTATGTTCCCTTAAAATGGCCTGTCCTGTCTCAGATCTGGCCTCCTTGGCCAATTCTGTGAAGTTGTAAGGAGCCAGAGGTGAGCCACAACCTGCTTTCTCAGGAAAGACCTCCTTCATAGCTTTCCTGGCAATTGGCCATCCTCACATCTGTAGGTACCAAGAAAGACTGACTCTGTCCTTGGTAAATCCAAACAAGTGAGCCCACTGGGACTTGCACTGGGACTGCATCTGCGTGCCTGGCTTCCTGGATCCCAAGTTCAGAGAGTTCCATCACCAAGGAAGTGTTGTTAGGTCACTTCCATCAGGAACTGAATGAGTTCACTGCCTTGGAAACCACTTTGTCCTAACTGTTGCTTCTAAGGGTCCCATGAGATGGAGGCTGCCCCTGCTTCCTATGACATTTCAAAAGTTAGAATGGTATATCAACCATAGGCACCCAGGAAAAGCTCTCCACACAGGCCTGGTTTGGTCCATCTTGTCTACATTAAAAAGAGAGAGGCTCATTCAGACACTTCCCTTCATCCTGACCAGGTTGTTTGTCACGGAAGATGATTTTTGCTCTCTCAGGTCCTTCCTAGCTGCCTACATCTTCTCCAGGGATCATTTCTGCATGGACCATTGAGGTTCTCAGCAGGTAGAAGATCCCCTACATTCCTGTATTATAAGACCAACTCTGTCTCTGCTCTTGTGTAAAGTTAGATTGAGGGAACAGTGAATGCTTGGCGTTAAGAAGATGTTTCATTTGGGTTAGAAATCATTCTGCTGGATGAAAAATGGTATTGGGAACCTGTGATATTTATAATAATATAGAGGTGAAATATATGTATGAAACAGAAATCTAAGTAAGATTTGAAGGCCAAAAGGGCATTGGGCCCTTGAATGGGATACTTAGCTTTGAATTACATTCTGTACAGATGTCTCTGATTAATCCATATACAATGGCATAGGACCTTGTACCTTGGATGATTGAATGTAGAAGGGAAGATCCAGTGAAAAGGGATAGTAGGTAGGATTAGGAAGATAGTCAGTAGGTTTAGGAAGAAGAGTGAGTATGTAATTTTGACCAAAAGTTCTTTAGCAATAGGGTGTCTGTGAGAGAGTGAATGTAAATGTCAGCACATGTGAAGAGTCATTCACAATGATGAACTTGGTAAAATATGTAGGACACAAGATATGAATATAGACATTAGGAAATCAGGCAAAGTATAAACTGAGTGATAGGATTAGACATTTTCAACAGGGTTTAGGTTGAATATATAATCTTAGGCAGAAACAAATGTGTAGTCACCAATAGGATTGACATTTGAGAGCATTAGGCAACTTAGAAAAGGATGGTTTCAGTAATCCATGCTCACTTTCCAATTAGGCTTTGGAACAATCATAAGTGTGACCTTTGCATTTTGTGTCCAGAATATCACTGTGATAAAATGTATATGTAGATCAGGTGACATGAGTAGTTCTTCCACTATTTGGGGAGCAATATGTTGAAGACGTATAAATTAGCATTCGGGGGTACAAATAGGTGTACCCTGGGTCTATGAGTATAGAGATAATGCATGAATAGACCATACTGTGAATAAAGAATATAACTGGTTCCAATTTAAATAATGGATTGAATTGATATCTGAAAACATGTAGGAAATCTTATATTGATAGAGGATCATTCATTCCAACCAGTTATACATCTAATGGTAATATTAGAGTGATGGTTTACCATGAGGGGGTGTTTGTTTTGGTTCCAAAGTGATTATGGAAATTCAAAATAATGTGTTTGGAAAAAAGTCTCTTGAAAAGACCAGTCAAGAAACATGGAGGAATACATTTGTTCTGAAGCAGGATTTGATTGAAAGTGAACCAAATGCCTAGAAATTTGTGAACTTGAGGATGAAATATATATCCTATGATGTGCATCAACTGAAGAAATAGTAATGTACCAGTGTTGAATAAAAATGAATGTCAAAATACACATCATCTCGCACAGGAGTCTACTTGCATTGATGTTAAACAGGGTCAGTTACTGTAGAAATGTTAGGATTTCTATGCACCATTCACTGAAGTTAGTTTTCAGTACTAGGAAACAAATATGTATTTCAGGTGGATGAATATTTCTGAGAATAATCTTGTGAAAAGTTGATTATAAATTCACATACATGAACATGAATTTAGGGAGTGTAAAATAAGACACATATATTTTATATTTTGAAAAATCTGGAGAGTGTGTGTGTGTGTATATATATATATATATATATATATATATATATATATATATATACAGAAAACACACACACACAGAGACATTAAAGAGTAGAAATATATATGCCAATTGAAATTCATCATGAAATATATATCATCCAATGATCCAAATATATTTATTTTACTGAACATGGATTTATGTATCATGTTGTTCAAGTAGGAAGCTCACACATAGGTTGATTTTCAGTTCCAACAGCATTTAGGAGGAGTGATTTCTTCTCACAGTTTGTATCTGCCAAGTCAGCCACCTCACAAGAATGTAGCTGGGAAACCAGGTAGGATTCTATATGTGCATGTAATAATACATGTGCTGAATAGGCTGCAGAGAAAGGGAGACAGGAATTCACATATTTGTTAACTTCAAAAACACATGGAGAACTATTACATTGGACTAGATTCATAACATCCACCCTTTATAATGCAAATTGCCTGTCCAACTACACACCATGCCTCCTCTGAACTGCTTGTATTTCTTTTCTGTTTGGGTTATTTTTCTTCATCATATTAGGATTCGTAGTGAGAGTCTAGTAGGGTATGGGTTAGTGTCAGGGATTCAATATTTAGAATGGAAAAGAGAAAAATGAATCCAATGTGTATGCAAATATGTGCTACTCAAAAATCTTCTCACTGTCATTCAGAACAATGCCTTGAAATTACCCTCGCCCCAAGTAAGACGCAATTCAAGGAGAAGAGTTAGAAAATCTTTGAATACATATGTGGAATGAAAAATGCTCATGAGTTCACAAGCTTGGAGGTTGTAAAGAAGTTTCCATAAGTAGGAGATAGAATAAACACTCCACAAACATGGAGCTCTGCTGGCCTAAAACTTCTTCAGAAACTGCCTCTGAGGTGGGCTCTTGAAATATATGTTGTTGTCAGGAGCTTTAGCTTCCTTTGTAGTGAGACCATCTAAGCTAGGTCTGCATCTATGTGACCTGGAGGACATGGTTTCTGATTTCCCAATGAACATGAGGCAGAAGTGCTGAATTCTCTGTTTGTAGGTAAACTGTGGCAACTGGTGCCTAAGTGTCTCCCTGTGGGGACTGTGAAGCCATTTGGTCATCCTCCACTTTTCATGGTGTTTCTTGCTTCTGCACTGGGAGTTTGGTATTTCCTTCACAAAATACAAAGAGTTCAACAGAGACACAGTGCTGGAGGGAGTTCTGTCATGTGTGGTGAGTCAGGGTCCTAGGAGATTGCACCACCCAGGCTTCTATCCCACAGAGCTTGGCCCCTTGACCATAGCAACCTGATTCTGAACATTGCTCTGAAATCTCTCCATATAACAAGATGCCTTTACATATAAGGGTCTGCTTGCTGCACCATGTCAGTCACAAGCCATTTGGAATCTTATGGCAGATCCACATGGCCCCACCACAGATGTTTTATCACACACCTGCACACGACTGCTCTAGTCCCACTATTCAGCAGGCCCCAACTTACTGGCATCTCTGTTATACACCATTTTCATGCAACCCAGTCAATCAAGGCACCTGCCTGGTACACTCATGTTCAGCAACAGGACATTGAAAGGTTCTCCAGTGCCACCTTGTCATGGGAATTTCAAAGATTGCATGCTATTTATCTAGCCATTTTTAAAGGAAGAAGTTGAAGGCACTTTGGGTTTCCATTCATTCAGGAACCATTAAATGGTGACGAAGACCATTTCAATGAAAGCTCTGGAGAACTCTCACAAACAAAACTTCCCAAAAAGTGCTCAAAACGTCACATGAAACCAGGCCAATTGAGGTCTACAATGTGAGGTACATGTGTGTTTTGACTCTCAACTATGGCTACCAGGTCTTTAAGAATAAAATCATGTGATATCCTGGCTGAGATTTCCAGTGTTCTGTGGAAAGTCACCCTGGGCTTCGATCTCAGTTTCCAAGGGTGACTCTCATGCATGGCCTGGGAAAGTCCCAACACAATTCATGGCAATACTTCTCTGAGGTCAGTTCCAGAACTGAGTCTCCAAGGGGATTCACACCTGAGTTCAAGCTCAGGTGGACCCAGTCATCTCTTCCACTGCCACACAAATTCCCACAATTCAAACCAAAACACTGCCACATGGCCCTCATCTTCTTCCATATAGACACTTCTGATAACCTCTGGCTGGAGGTTTCCATGAGGGGCTTATCCCAAGATACTGTCAACAATAAGCTTTTTTGCCCCTCATTTGCCTAATGTCAGGGTGGCCTGGACACCCTTCCTTTGAACCAGGAGTGATCAAATAGGCCTGCCTTAAATACTGCTCCGTTTCTCCACTTTGAGGCCTGCTGATGGTGGGGTATAGATTCTTTGTGTGAATTGGAGTCATAAGTAAACCTAAGCACATATTGGCTAGCCTCTGCAAGGCTTTGAAAAACTCAATTGACCCAAAAGATCCCTATTCTCACTTGATGGAGGTCAGGAACCTTACAGAGGAAGGC